GAGACTAGAGAATAATAATTGGAAAGCAAGGAGATACGTCTATAGTGAGTCCAAGCAAAACCAGTGTAACCACAACATTTAGGGCTTGGAACAGGGCATGTGAAGTCATATACTTGACATTGTGGATAGAAGCACGATAGATGCGGCGGTGACTAGAGCTAGTTGGCTAACAGTAGACGTGTTTGATCATAGACATGCTCTGTGAAGCAAAGTCTTGACCGTGAGAATTACCCAGTGCACATGTTTAACGGTGATAACGGGATCCATGGCCTCAAATTAGTCTCCCATCCAGCATGCGAATCCAGACTTTAGGGAGATTGCTTAGTGGGGCAGGAGCATACGTGCCATGAAATGGTTTAGGCAGAGTGTGGTAAATCAGGCCTCGAGTAGCACAGATAGGATCGCAATCGTCGAGTGAAATCCCTGAGACAGACAGATAAAAGGGGGATCCTAGGGGGCAAGAGGGAGAATGTGATAGGACCTAAGGGAAGAGGATTGCAGACTAATAGGGTAGACTCAGAACAACATTCCCAGTACAAGGGTTGGAGTGTGAGAAACCAGCGTAGAGTGTGAATAGGTCTAATGAAATCGGCTCAAAAGGGCACATGTTTAAATAAAGGAGTAAGAAAGGATCGACTTAATTTGTCTCTTTGATGAGTTGTAGTGTGGTTTCTAGGACAGACAAGATTCGCTGACGATGCCGGCGAAAATTCTGGGAATGAACCAAGCCCAGGGTACGACTGAAAATTAGCATGCATCCTATAGACTCCGGACAAGAGGCATTCCTCAATATGACCGAGTGGCAAAAATAAGGTAAAACCAATACTATACAACGAAAGGAGATCGCAAGCATACAATACGCCATACCATCTTAGTTTTCATACCTTCGATCAATCGAATATATTACTTATTGAAGTTGTTTGACCTTGTTTTCGAGACATGGTCATATTGGTAGGAAGACTTATAGGAACGCACCTTGTCCGGAGTCCATTGTATGCATAATGATTTTCAAAGTCGGACTGTGGACGTGATACATTCCCAAACGTTTCGCTGACATCGTAGTCGGCATCGTCAGTGAGTTTCACCAGTCGTAGT